GCACTCCGAAGACTTGTGGCCTACTTTATCACAATTGAAGCATTTCCCTTGAAATTTCTTCTTAGAAATTCCACCTTTCGGTCCGTGCTTGGTCTTTTTTCCACTGGATGGCCCAAGCTTATTTTTGTAACTCTTACTGCTTTGACCATGCTCCACAATATTGGCTTTAGCAACACCAGGATTGAATCACTTCTTTTCTGAACTTTTGTTGTCTTTTTCAATTCGAAGTCTAACAATAAATTCTTCAACATTCATTTCTTTTCGTTTGTGTTTCAAATAGTTTTTGAAATCTTTCTATGCGGGGGGCAATTTTTCAATAATTACTGCCACTTGAAAGGTTTCACTCAACACCATTCCTTCGGCATGAATTTCGTGAAGAATCACTTGGAGTTCTTGCACTTGACTGATAACAGTTTTGGAGTCCACCATCTTATAGTCGAGGAATCTGCCGACTATAAACTTTTTAGCCTCGACATCCTCAGTTTTGTATTTTCGGTCTAAAGACTCCCACAATTTCTTAACAGTTTTCATCGTGCTATACACTTTGTATAGCGTGTCTGCTAAACTATTCATAATGTAATTTTGACATAAAAAGTCCGAATACTTCCAAGCATCAAGTGCACTGACTGCTTGAATAACTCTTTCTCTTTCATTGAGTACAGGAGCAGTCTCAGTCAAGAATCTTACAAGATTCAAGGTGGTCAGGTAAAACAGCATTTTCTGCTGCCACCTCTTGAAATTCAAGCCATTGAATTTCTCCGATTTCTCTCCATGATTAACCGGAACAGTAACCGTTTGGCCAGTTGTTAGAGCCACAGTTTAACTCACAACACGACTAGGCAAGTTAGCCACAGCAGAGCTTGGCCCTTGAGCCATAGTAGAGCCCACAACTACTTTTCCAGCAGGAACAGTTTGGGTCACATCTATGTTGGTTGGTTCGGCAGCCATTTTTGAAAATGAAACAATTATTAATCTCCAATAAACAAATAAACTTGTTTACTACCAATACGTATTAAGGAATTTGTCTTAAGTTTGTAGTCATTTTTAATCAGTAGTGTATGGATTGGAATCGGACTCTCATATACTGTATTTGTGTTTTAGACACCGAATTCACACTTACCGCATTTGGCAATTGCTTACCGTATTTGGCAGTGCAACTCACCGTATTTGACAGTGCAACTCACCGTATTTGCATCTCACCGTATTTGACAGTGCAGCTCACCGTATTTGACAGTGCAACTCACCGTATATGGCAGCTTACTGTATTTGTAGGCGAAGCTCACCGTATTTGCACCAAATTTGCATAAAGTGTTTTTATTTTTACACTAACTAAATAACACAAATTTTTTCACTTTCAAATAGAAATACCCTATAGGTGAAATCTATATTATTCACACATATAACGAATAAAAAAAATCAGTTTATTTTATTTATCTATTTCTAACATAAATTTCAAGTACGTTGCAAGTTAAATAAATAAATATGCAAAATTGAAAACTAAATAAATAGCAGATATAATTTCAACCCGAAGCCTGTGAAAACACAGTTTTCTTAAAACAAATTCGCCCCCTCACCGTGGTGCTAGAAGTTTAGTTTGAGCGCCCCTCTCCCAGGATACAATGGTAATCAGTAGAATCCGAGCACCGCGATTCTACTCCGGCGAACTAGGCGAGTGGTCGAACTATATCACCTTACTGGAATGAGACGGAACAACAGGAACAAAACAGAAAACATGTTGGAAATTGCAGACGAAAATTTCAGTGTATGAACTGCTGAAAATTGAGCGAATTATATAGACTCAATCTGACCATTAATTTTCTGCATTAACCATTGCAGTTTTTGGAGTTACACTTCGATTTTGACCACTGGAGTTTTAGGTCCAAACTGGCTAGTTTTTACTCCGTTCGGTCTGACATTCGTGTTCGCAGGTCGTGCCCGCACTCAAGTTCAAGGTCCGAAGGCTATTTCTGTCTGTGATTTGCACCCCCTCGCGTGCGCACGTGGAGAGAGCCTCTATGTTACACATGATCACACCATTCCAATGCATAGCCATATATAAAGTGGTTTTGATTTTCATGTTTTTCCTATGTGGGACAGTTTTCCCACCAATATAGACCATTTTCAATGGTCCACTTTAGACTCCAATTTCTCATTCACCCGAGTTTCATTTTTGGCAAATAAATACACGACTTCGATGTTCTCGCGGAGGAGAACACATATCAACTTTGATGTTCCAAATTGAACCAACGGATCCCATCGAAAATTGTGCCAAAAGTGAGCCAATTCACTCATTTTTCCAACACCTCTTTGAGACAAATTTTATATCTTCGGCACTATTCTCTAATGTCCATTTGCATATGAACTTCAAAGTATTATAAAGGGACCAGAAACTGTCAGAAATGTCTGGCATGAAAATAATATCAGAAAACTTATCTTTATCATCAGTCCTAATAGGTTTTCTAGAACTCGCCTTTTCTTTCGCTTCCAACTGTAATACGAGATCAGTTGTTTTCTTGAGATCCTAAATCGAATCTGACAAAATTTCTTATATTGTGCAATCTATTCGTTTTAAGTGCTTCGACTTGCTTTGTCTTTACCCTGACCAAGGCATTGTTAACTTCAAGTTTGACACCTCCAGCATTTTCCTGAGTACTTTGGTTCTTTATCTTCCCTTTATCAGAAAGAGTAGTCACTTGAAAATTCTCACCTATTCACTCAGAGTCAGTGCTTGTTATTATTGGCACTTGCACAGATAGGAAGCCACTGTCTTGGAAGAAGGTACGAGTTGCTTGTATAAGAGCATTTTGGATTCTCATAACAAAAGATACCTGCGAAAATTTAAACAAATTCTTGAAAGCCTAAGATTTTAAAAGATAGACTATATTTGGGAACAGATATTACTGTCGTTGTTCGTGTTGGATCCAGAGGGATTGTAATGAATGAGATTATGACACAATATGAAGTAATAAAGATTACAACAAGAAAACAATATTAAAAGTAAAGAAGAACAAAGAAAGTTAATCGCAGAGGAATTATGTATATTAACTGACAATGTGTAGAGAAATTACAGACACAGCAATAATGCATCAATGAAATTGACAGAGGAGCCTTGTATTTATAGGTCATGTTCCAAACCTTAGAAGAGTACTGAAGGTAAGAAAATCTGTTAAAAATATGTTATAATTGAGCATAGAACTTCGACCGATAGAGGATTTCCTTCCCTTATTCAATGTGGATACAATCTTCCTTTCCAACTAAAAGTCAAATACGTAATCTCATAAGACTTCTAACCATATTTGAGTCACAAAACCTAACAATTCATGGTCGTAAATGGGCAGAATCCCTTAAATTTTCAAGGGGCACACGTTTGATAAAGGATATGTGTCCTGATCAATTGTCCCTACATGAAGAATTTTCTCTGCTTTAAGTTCAACAATTTGCTTCCCTTGTGTTAATGGTTGTTGCAATGTACCTTCTGCTAATATACACGATCCAGTAGGCATAATCCTAGCTGTTGGAGCTAGGGACGAGTCAACCACGACCTGATTAATGACTTAAGCAATCAAGACATAAACTCCTATCAGAAGTGAAAGATGCTCGGTGTACAGATTCCGATTTCACAGAATCCCTATAGACCATTCAGAGCGGGAGTGGGGTGGATTTTTTTGGCATTTTTTTATTCATATGGGACCCATTGAGATTTCTGTATACTTTCTGTGAAATAAATTCTGTACATATGGAAAAACTCAATAGAAATTTCGGTTTCTTGATTGATCTCCCAAAAAATGGCTTAAAAATTGTGATAAGAAAGAGAATTCTAGATTAATTGTAAGTATCAAACTCGGCGTACCTGAAGACTAGCAACACGAGCCATCACTGATTTGCAAAATTGCAACAGAAGGCTGTGGTGGCCTAGGAATAACTGTATCCAACTAATCACGAATTCGTTGCTCGCCACCGCCTAAAACATTCAAAATACTCCGTAAAAATGGAAGCTGGGATTGAAGAACTTCTACACGTGTTGTCCTTTTGACTTCCAGCATCAGGAGCAACCACCACAGGTGGTGTAACGAGGTCTTTTCTTACCTCCCGGGAGGACTTAACCCACCCTCCAACCACCACTCTCAGGCCAATGAACCCCACTCCACCATTACTTTGGCCTACACATATTTCAATACTATCCTTTTGGAATACTTTGAAAGATTCAACTATGTTTCCACCGGGGCATATTCTGAGGCCATTTTCGAATGAAAAAATTCAGATAAAATTGAAGGGTACCTTTTGTTGAAGTGATCTTTTGTTGGGATTATAGTGTTGAGAAATGAAGGGTTAAGATTTATATGAAGAGAAATTATGCTCTGCTTATTAATTATTGAATGGACGATAAAGAGGTAAATAGGAGGGAGTGTAGGGAAAAATGGGGGAGAAGGTAAGGGATTGTTTCTGGGTATTGCCACCTGCATCAAGCATGGAGTGAGAGACATGTACAGAGGTTAGGAATTGGTATTCCTGATAAGGAAGGGACTCGCGGGAGTTTTCATATTTCAACCGTCTTTTAAATTGTACTTTTATGTTAGTTTTGAAGCCAAGTAATTTTATTTTTTTTAATTTTAAAAATTATATTTAATTTTTTAGAAAAAAGGTATTTCTAATTCCTCACAATAAAGAAAATGTCAGCGTTTGTATCTGTTTCTTCTATACCATTTAAAGCATTTCAGGATCAAGAACCTTCAAATTGCAATTTGAGAAATACTTTTCCAGCGTCACGCGCCAAACCAGATAGGAAACCAGTATTTCTTGAATCAATATTTGCCATATCATCATAGAATAACCAAAATTGCAAATCAAAAAGCATAGAATAAGTTGTAAATTTATAACAAGAATAATTCACTTTATGTGGACTGTGGACAAGTTACAACTTTACTTCCTTAGACCATTGATTCTTTCCAACAGAGTTCTTAGTTAAAATCCAGCATTCTTGAGTAGTTGGTACATAAATATTAAATGCAGCAAAACCTAGCAGATGCATGTTATATGCATCCAAGTACGAATAGTAATGGACGGTACTAGGAATTGAGGTATCTTCTCCCTTTTCTCAGTGGCAGCGAGAGCAACAGAGTTGAAGTAGTTTATATTTACAAACGTCCCAATTCATATCAATTAATCTATAAAAGAGCTGTGCATATAAATTAATCTTGTCCAAGGATGTTCTTGTCCTATGAGGATGAAGGTGGCGAGGATGAAGATGACATTGCCGCATGATAAGATGATGATGCAAGTTGTGCTAGTGCTGGAACGGCACCACCTGCACATTTTCAGGACCATAGGGTAAGCCATTAGACACGTAGAATTGCCTCAAAATCAGATTTCATTCCCGCAAAAATATTATTCTACAATGCTCGTACTTCTGCCAAAAGCACTATCGCCAATCCAACTTGGGATTGTTTTAACATAGAATATTTCCAATCATAGTATGTCTACGAGATGTATAAACATTGAAAGCGAGATAAGAGAAGTGGGTTCTTATGTAAACTTATTTCTCTAGGAACCGTTTTGCAGTAGGTATTGAGGCATATTCACTCACAAGTTAGCGTTTCAGTAAAATTTAGTTTTTTATATTTATCAATTCAGTTCAACATTATTGCTTCAGATAGCCAGGAGCATAGCCAGGTATGTTGCAAGAAATTTAGGGTGCACTTGATTTAAGTAAATAAGGATAGACATTGTAGAAAGAACTTTTACCTGCCAACCCAGCACAACCTGAAGAGAATACAATGACGGGTGGGGCCTGAAACCGCAAAGAGGTTGTGACATAAGAGCAAACCAAAAAAAAAGGGATGGAAAGAGAAAAAACACGCACTAAATTTGGAAATGATATAGTGTGAATCGCATGTTAATTTTGACAGAATACAAATATTTACACCCTAAACAGCCATCTACTTGACAATATCAAACTAGAATCTCAACTTTAATCTGAGCAAAAAAAATGGTTGGTCAGTTCACTGGCCATTTTAACGAGCATTTCCGGATCATACATCTTCAAAATGCTTGTATGCTGCATTTAATCCAACAATACTTTCTTCCTTTATCATTTTATGTTTAAAGACAAGTTTTAGACAACTAAGCCTCCGTTTGGCAAAATTTATAAATGGTCAAATTTCATTTTCAACTACACATTCCAATGAACCCACATGCGCTATCTATTTATCCACCACTTATTTCTAATTATATATAAATTAAACCATTGATAAATTCTTACCAAACGGGGAGGCTAAATAGAAAATCGTACAGATGAAAGGGCATTGTCCGCTGACTGCCACAAAAAGATTGCCAACAAGCTACCTAGTCTATAAAAATGAAGCAACAAAGCAATTATACCCTTCCTATGTTGTTTACACATAAAGAACCAACTCAACTAGATCTTCTTCCTCTACAAATATTCAGTGATGGCTTCAGGATGAATACAGTTATTCTATCTTGTCAAACTAAAGCAAAAAAATATGGAAGCATAACTCTTTATAATGATCAGTGGCTAATAAACATATGTGCAAAATCAAGTTCAACTGCCATGTCCCCAGCCCAGATCTAACAGCTAATATCCAGTCCCAGGAAACTTTCATATTATACTGTCATACCTTTCTGCCCTTACACTGAAGAATAGATCATCCTAATAATAAAACAAGAGCATCCAACTTTATATCAGGTAAGGTTCTCTCATGAATTCTAACTTCCCCTAAAAGAAAAATTTGCCATTTTACCAGAAAAACTGCAGATCTGACATCTTTGAAGCAATTAAGGACAACAGATCATTTAAACCTCAAAAGCATTTTCCCTGCACCAAATATCTTCTCAAAACTCCTCACCTATATCAAATTCTCAAAACCTAATTTATATTACATTCCACAATCTAGTAGGGTGAACTTCATATTAGTATCACGCTCCTTTAGAGAGTAGTTGGAGTCGATTATGGTAAAGTATAACCAGTTTGGAGGAGCTGGAGTTGGTAAAACAGTAGTTTTTCACATGATGGTGAATCCACTATAACAACCCACTTCCTACCAACCAAGGAAGAAAGAAAAGATGAGGAGAAATAAGGTCAACCCAGAGGTTGCATTACAGGCTTCAAGGGAAAACAAGGAGTATGAGATTGAAGCACTTACACCAATGAGAAAATGCAACCACATAGGTCCTCTGACCCACTTCTGAACAACTGGCATAGCTGCAGAAAATTATAAAAGGAATATAAAGTCAGTCCGCAGACTGATTTCTCACATAATAAGCACATCATGGTAGAATAAAATGCTCATAAACAAATAACAATATATGAAATTTTGAAGAAAACATTGCCCAAGGAAATTGATGGCAGAGAGCCAGTCAGAAACCTGCTGGTATCTATTATAGTTTAGTTTATAGGATCACTGTTTACTCATCAGCTAAATGGAAGAAGGAAGGAAAGAAACCATGCTTGTTACACCACCAACTGAAGGGTTCACCACTGGAAAAAAAAAAAAAAAAAAGGAAATTAGAGAAAAGTTAGCATACCGTGGTTGAAGCCATAAAAGGCCCCCGCAGTGCCACCAACAGCCGATCCTATCTAATCAGAAAGAAATTTGGCAGAAACGCTTAATGAGGTACAGAAAATGCATAAATTACCGCAAGAATTACTATTCAAACAAGCCATACCATAGAAAAGCTATCCCTAATTAGTGGCGGAACAGTCCACTCACTGGTCTCCTGCCATTGATTTAAAATTCAATACTGAGAAATTGCTTATTAGATAATTCGAATCAATAAAAAGCAGTTAATTTTACCATCTCTTTGGAAAGGGGCCCGGCGCAGTGAGGGCATCTCATGCTTTCAATATCACTTCTTCTTATTCTCCTGGCGCCAGTGTTTGATTGTTCCGCCATTGCTGCAATTGTAAATATTTACAAGTGGAAACTAAACACACGGTCCATGTACACACGTACTATTTTAGAGCGAGAGAGAGGCGAGGTAGAGAGAGAAACTGGTTGAAGAGGAAGAGCGGAAATGGGCCGATGGCCCAATGGAGCCCAGCTCATTATTTCTAGAGGATTGAGAATCATCTCACTTTAGGGCAGAAGGACGATTATCTACTTGTTCTAGACGTCAAGAGGCAAGGTAAATTGCAACCATTACCCTCCAACTTTTACCTTCTTTTGCTCGTTTATCCCCAGTTGTTTATTCTTGGCATTAAGCATGTTAGCCGTTCATTTTTTATCATTATCATTATTATTTTTATTTATTTATTTTATGACGGGGAACTTGCAGCCGCTACCTTTTAGGTGCGCACTGGATAAACTCTCGTGTTAACGCAATAGCCTGTAAACCACGCTAACCATGTAAATCACACTAGACAAGTTCGGTGCAACATGTTCGTCCGATAAGGTGTTAGTAGGAGGAATCGAACTCGTGAGTCGTGATCAAAGGTTTCCGTGCTCACCCACTCCATCAATTCGGTCAACCTATGAGGGGCTTCATTTTTTCTTTTTTTAAGTGCAAATAATCCCTACTAACAATTTGGTCCAAAATGGCTATTGAATTAGTTAGAAATGCATTATACTCCCAACCATGAATTATCTAAAAACGAAAAGAAAAAGAGCATAAAAGAGTATTTTTTTTCTTCAACTTTTCCTGTGTATTTCATTGTTGTCACTTCTTGTACTCATTTTGTCCCAATCCCCAATCTCCATTCTTACATACTTAAAATTATAAAATCACATCACATTATCCTTTTTTAGTTTGGGTACGATAGGATTGCCTAGTTGATTCTGTTGCGTGTTGTCATACTTGGCCAACCTACCTGGGACAATGGCCCACTCATGGCGATCCACGTGGCATTCCTACCGAGGTGGCACATGATGCCGAGGTGGGCAACATCTGAACTGCTTCGAGCCGAAATCCATCTGTCGAGACTCCCTTTTATCCGAGGCCTACTAACCGATGCCAGGCTGCTGGTACCGCTGAGAGCAGTTGAGGCCCTCGAGTGGAAGTATCATGACAAATGGCCGAAGCCCCGAAGCTGATGCGCGAGCCTCTGAACCACAAAGAAACATCCTCCATGATCACTTCTCCCAAGAGATCACCTGCACAGATCTTATTCGAATGATTGATGGAACGTTTGTCATAAGCATAAAGGTTAAGTCTTGTCACTAACATAGAGGCCCTGCACAAGTAATAAATACGCCATAAGCTAGCAAGTCAAGTCCCATACCTAGGAAAAGATGTTTGAACTAAAGAGATAAGGCCACGTGCACTTCATCCAAGGGCTCCCATTTCATATGTACTGCTACAAATACTCCCTTGTGTAATATCAAAAGACTAATGCAAGAATCAATACAAAGAACTACATTTACTCAACTCTCTTTCAGTTCACTTGCAATACACAAATCAAGTTTATACACATTTACATATACATTTATGAACACCAGTTGGTAATTATTGTACAATCGGATTACGAACAACCCGCTGGATTCCGAACGTCATCGTCCCGTGTCGTTGAGCTACTCCCACGCCCTTTGAACCGCTCGTTTTAGACAGTTCACGTGTCTTAGCGTGTTGGACATTCGCCTACGCAAGCGCGGGTGGGATCGGCATCTGTTGGCGCACTTTTTGGGGTCAACAGATTGGCGTCGTCCGTAGGAAACCATATCATAACCACGAGCAACCTTGCGGTAAAAGCTTACTGAAAAATATTTGGGCAACCCCCCTTGAAAAAGGATTTGTTTTTGAAAAAGAACATGAGAAACCCCTATCACTTGGACAAATCTGAGTTTGATAAAAGAAATATGAGTTCTAAAGAAGATACCCCCCCAGGAGGGTAAGAGAAAGCATGAATGCACCTCCCCAGCCTACTGCCCTAGCAGCTCGACCGAGGCTCCACCACCACCAAAGGAGAGGTGGAATGCGTGCGACAACACGACTGTCAAGAGAAACGGCTACCATGGCAGTCAACATGAGGGATATTGTCAACCAAAAACTTAGCCATGAGGGAGCTCATGGCCTAAATGCAAGGCCAGTGAGGCTTACCCATTCCTCCATACGCCCCCCACGGGCACTATCAGCAAGAGGACGAGGTTTAGAGTCATAGGGCTGCCTCACCAGATTATGGCCGAGGTGGAAGCCCGTTCGAGAGGGATGTGGGAGTCGACATTTCCTCCAACTATGCTTCTGGCCGACCCACCGAGGTCCAAATGAGCCGCGATAATTTTCCACCTCCATATGAGCAAGATCCAAGACATAGAAGAGCTGGTAGTGTTTTTGACAGAATCAGCCCCGCCGAACCGAGGCTCAGTCAATAGCAGGCTCAGCAGCCTCGGACGAGGCCACAACCTCCACCTCCAATGCCCCAGCAGCCGGAGAGAAGGCATGAAAATGCCCCCCGCGCTGCCCTGCAAAGGAGGGAGAAAGAGGCTAGGAACCGGCCCGGCCCCTTTCACCAAAACCAAGGTACGAGGCCGATGACTACGATTCTGATGAGCAGCAGAGGTCCTGTGACTTGGATGATGATGATGAGAACCTGCCATTCTCAAGAGAACTAAGGAATGCCCAGGTCCCAAGCCACTACGTCATGCCAAAAATACCAAAGTATGACGGGAGAGGTGACCCGGAGAAACACCTCAACGCTTACAAAACTCACATGAGCCTGAGGGGTGCCACCCCAGCCGTGAAGTGCAGGGCTTTCCACTTAACCCTCAGTGGAGCGGCTGAAATCTGGTATAGCAGGTTGCCACCTGGGAGCATCCGAAGCTGGCCCGAGTTCAAGACAACATTCTTGAAGCGATTTGCAGTGAGCAAGGAAGGAGAGGCCCCTATCCAGCGTCTCCAAGACATGAGACAGGCACATAGGGAGTCCCTAAAGAGCTTCCTATATTGCTTCACCGACGAGATGACTTACTGTGTACAAGTCACCGACAGAGAGGCACAATCTACATTGAGGGGAGGCCTGAACATGAACACCCTATTCTGGAGGGATGTGCAGAATCAAGACCCCACCACCTATGACGCCCTACTAGAGATGATAAGAAGGGAGATAGTCAATGAGGAATTGATTGAGCATAGGAACAGGGCAAACAGAGGCCTCTCACCTCCTCAAAGGCAGCGAGGTAGGGGTCCAACCTCCCACCTCATGGACTACCAGATGAACTAAACCGGAAATGAGAACTCTGGACAAGCACTGGCCACCACAACTCTGAACGCGGTTCCTACCTTGGCATATGAGGATGTCAACCCAATTGTTGACCCACATCAGATGGAGGCCCAGCGGGGACCCCGCAGAGGGAGAGGCCGAGGCTTTGCACCTTGAAATAGGTCCAATCCGAACCCCCCAGGATACTGTTTGTACCACAGGTCATACGGGCATGACACCACGGATTGCAGAGACTATGCACACCGCTCCCGGCAGGAACCCGCCAGAGACAGGCATGATTCGCCCCAGGCGAATGGGCCCCCGCTCAGGCACGACAACCGACATAGGCGTGAGGAGGCCGCTCCCCGTCAAAGGGATGAATCCCCACGACGAAGGGAGCATGATGTAGAGAGGCCCAGGGAAGGGCGTAGGCACTGAAGAAATCGGCACGCTCAAGATGAGGTCCCTATCCACGAGGTGGATACCATATTTGGAGGCCCTTATGTTGGTGGCGAAACACGAAACGCCAAAAGAAATTATGCTCGGGAGGCTAAACACCCCCCTTTGACGAGTTACATTGTGGACAATAGCACCCAAAGAAACCAAGTACCACCCATTGTCTTTACCCAGGAGGACGCCGAAGGAGTTCATTACCCCCATTACGATGCGCTTGTGGTGAGGGCTGTCATAGCCCGGAATGGGCTCAAACGAATGCTAGTCGACAACGGTAGCTCCGTCAACATCCTGTTTGGGTCCGCCTTTGACAAAATGATATTGGACCATCAGTTGACACCCACCACCACTCCATTATATGGATTTACCGGAGATAGCATCACTCCGAGGGGAAAGATAACGCTGGCAGTGGAAATGGGAGAGTCTCCTCAAACTACGATGAACTTCATGGAATTCCTCATAGTTGACAGCCGGTCGGCTTACCACGGAGTCTTGGGCAGACCAGCCCTAAAGGAATTGGGAGCAGTCACTTCCATCCACCACCTATGCATGAAATTCCCGACAAAAAACGGAGTGGCAACGGTGAGAGGCGACCAGAGAGGCTCGAGAGAGTGCTATCTAAGCTCCATTAAGAAGGTAGAGCCCCGGGACGTCCACGTGATCATGGCTGATGTGGTCATGGCGGATGTCCCAGGTGACGCTTCTGCTGAACAAGAAGTGTTGACATGATTGATGCGCCGCTTAATCCTGAGGTGCTGATTATTGACGAGATTGACCCCCACATAATGAACATGAGCCTCAAGCATCCCCTGTAGAGGAACTTGAGAGCTTCTCGGCCGACCCTCGAGGCCCTTCTAAGGTGCTGAAGGTAGGCAAAGGCCTATCCGACATTTTGAGAGAAAATATTAAGGACTTCCTAGGCAAGAACCTTGATATCTTTGCTTGGAGGCATGAGGACATGGTGGGCATTGACCCCAAGGTCAGCTGCCACCACTTGAAGATTGATCCTAAGGTTGCCTCACATAAATAAAAAAGGAGAGTCCTTAACCCTAAGAGGTATAAGGCCCTGAAGGAAGAGGTTCGGAAGCTCATCCAAAATGGCTTCATCAGGGAGGCCACCTATCCGAGGTGGGTTTCGAACCCAGTCCTGGTTAAGAAACACAATGGCAAATGGAGGGTATGCATCGACTTTACCAACCTCAATAGAGCTTGCCCGGAAGACAGCTTTCCGCTTCCAAGGATTGATCAATTGGTAGACTCCACGGCCGGACACGAGTTGTTGAGCTTCATGGATGCATACTCCGGCTACAACCAAATCCCCATGCATCCGGCCCATGAAGAGCACACATCTTTCATCACGGACCGAGGTCTCTATTGCTATAGAATGATGCCCTTCGGGTTGAAAAACGCCGAAGCAACCTACCAAAGACTCGTGAACAAAATGTTTACGGACCTCATTGGCAAGACAATGGAGGTCTACGTGGATG